GAAAGGAATAAGGAAGTGCTTCAAAAAGATTCTTGTCTATCAGGAACTTTTATCACCACTTGGGTGTATTCAACACAAGGCAGAGTAGCATAGCCTGAGAACTTTGACACCATAGGAATGCTATCTAGTTTAAAACATGGCATGGTTTAACACATTTTCTCAACAACACTATATAAGAAATATCAAGCACATGATATCGACATCAGCTTCTTCAAGTTTCAGATTTTCTTATCTGTGGCATACTCAACATCATGAACTCAGAGTCTATTTTGAATATCAACTAAGAATGAACACAGAATTGAAGTTGCAGCAAAATTCTCAGCAATCAGGGTAAAACATAGGTGTGAGATTGGCCAGACCTCATAAAGCTTTAATAGGGATTAGGCAATCTAAGAAACAATCATAATCACAAACCAGAATAATGGCTGAAGTACAACGAGATATCTTTGATTCTTACAGGTTTTCATATAAACATTACAGAAAGTAGAAGTTAATTCCAAAGTAAGAAACTTAACAGAGGAAATTAGGTAGAACGTGCCATTGATTTTAATCCCTGTTATTCCACTACTGAAAAACAGTACAACTATAGTTTCTATACACATCCAGTATAAGATTCTACAGGCAGATATAATTCATCCAGACAAATCAGTTAGATCCAAGTATTTAAGTTCATTTTTGTAATTGTTCTTACGTATAAGAGTGTTCCACAGTTGTGATTAAGCTGGTCTAATACAACTCTCAAGACTGTAGTTGCTGCCCCTACATCAGTTGGCACAGATCACTGTCCTGTTTGGGGATAGCAAGAGAGGAAACAATTTTTAGTGCTTCAGTTTTTTTCCACCTATGGAAAATTCAGTGCCAGTGAAAAGAGCTTTTCCTAGAATATGATTAAACTGTGGAATGGTCTACTGCAACAGCTTTCCCCAATGCCAGTTTTAATTGCTTAGTTACTGGGCACACTGTTGGTCTCTAGATATATACATTAATTGAGAACACATTGCTTATGCTTCAGTAGTTACACTAATCTGCCTGTATGAGGCATCCAAATATGTTATTCATAAGTGCTCCTTACAGTTAGACCACTGACAATGATGGGATGGAATAAACTGCAGAAGTCATATTTAAAATATACCTATATCCCACTGTGCTAGTCAAAAAAGTTAATATGTTATCTATCTAAATTCATGCTGGGGCCAACTACTGCCTGACAAAGTAAGCCTCGCTTCAGCCAAACCAAACTTACTAAGTGTAATTGTTTTAGTGCATACAGAGTTCTGGTTGTGTCAACAGTTAGTTAAGCAGAGGTCAAGGCAGCACTGCTAAAGAACCTGAGGTTTCTCACAGTGACTGCATGCATGATCACTGAAATTCTAACAGTGCAAAGCTGCTAGAAAGCTACATTCCACCAGCAGTTAGATGCGAGTCTCACATCAGGTATTCCCTGCTCCTGCCCCACTACTTGTCTTATAGCCTCTTCAGCAACCACACATGCAGGATGAGGCTTCATATAGGAAGGTCTGGAGGTAGTCCTGTTATTAGAACAATATTAGAACAAAAATATTATAACAAAAAAAAGGCATCAACATCTGTCTGTAAACTACAAGCATCTGTTAAAAACACATCACAAAAATATATTCACATGTATGAGTTATGAGAAAAAAAAAAAAACAAAAAAAACAAAAAAGGCAAAAAAGCTCAACATAATTACAGCAAAATAATGACATGAAGAACCAAAAAGGAAGGCGTGACCAAGTACAGAAGTTTTTCAGTAGAAGAACATTTTGAGACCTCAGGAACTCCAAGTCACCAGATGGGTATTCTACATACAAGCAATTAGGTGGCAGCTGGACCAGGAAAGTGTTGCTGGACATCAGTCCTTTTGAAGAAAACCTTATGCTGTACACCTGGGCAAGAAGGCAATTTTAACCAGAGAGAATTGTCACAGAAGCAGTTTGAGCAGCGCTTATGAACTGCTTAGGTCTTGCTCCAGTCACAACCCCCTACTCCCAAGACAAGGGGCACTATTCTAAAACAAAAGACATATAACATCCAGAGCATTTGTAACTGCTTACAACCTGTCCCTCAAACTGATCTCAGGTGGTAAGTATTCCCATGGACAGGCTGCTTACATTTCTCTGTTCAGATTACCTGGCCAGTGTGGCCCACCTGCATCAAATGCAGAGAAGCTTCACATCCCAGCAGACAAAGAGATGATAGGCATAGTTTTCTCTGGCTTTTTTTTTTTTTTTTTTTTTTTTTTTAATTTAGCTTGGCAGGGCAGGGAAGAAGTGATATAAAATACTTTGACTGTAACAGGGCTTGTTTCTGCAGGAAAGTCCTAAGATTACTATATGGAACTTCCTCGTTACCAGCTAGAAATGGCTGGTAATGAGGCTAGATGATGGCTAGAAACATACACAGATGCTTTATTTACCTTACCTCTTTTCACAGATTTGACTTCTTTAAAATGTTTATCAGCAACAATACTGCAGCTACATATGAATTTTATATATAATCCGTAACTTCCAGCCCTAGTATAATTTCAGTATTACCATCCAAAGAGCTACTGTTTGCACAGCCACCAACACATTAGAGGGAATAAACATTTTCTAAATGCATTTAGGGTATTTGTGAATTTGCATAAAATAAGAATTCAATACAGCTGAAGACCAATCAACTATGATAAATTAAGTATAAGCTTTTTTTATTCAATGAAACTAGTGACCAAAGAATTCACATAAATTCACAGGTCTTTGAGGCACTCAGCAAACTTGACAATTTCTACACTTTTGCTATGCTCTTTCAGCAATTGTAACATAAAATCCTACACCGTGTTAAGCAACATCCATTTTTTAGGCTGACCTATTCAAATAATTTATTCATATATCTAGAAAGGACAGGAATATATTGCAGTGTAAGAACAGCTCTCTGGTCATATGAAAATGTTAGGCAAATGTTCAGAAATCCACCCCAATTATGAGTGCAAATCAATATAGTATCTGAGGCAAGAGATTATGTGTTAATTGGATTGCATTGGTATTTTTTTCCTTCTATACTTTGGATGAATACATTCATTAAAGAAACACAGATCTGCACTGAATAGGGGATGGCCGATGGGATTATCTCCATACACTGAACTACACAAACGGTTGTTCTAAATCAGATAAAACTTAGCCTGAAGTTTTATACCCTTCTCCAACAGCTTCTAAATGAAAGAAGTGCCTAGGATATATATCAAGACACAAGTCTAAAATAAAGCTTCTTTTAATTCTGTGTACTGACAAGCAGAACAGTAAAAAACATGCCAGCAACCATAAAGAGAATAACAAAATCCAATTATCAGTTAGATTTTCCATGGCTTTAAATTATTTCTGGTGCAAAATATATTACATTTTTACCAGCCAATATCAGAACTGGAAGATGGTAATCTTCTTAGGCTAGTATTTTCTGAGATTAGTCTAACCTGAATGCAGGAACCTGATACAGAAAAGCTATGTTTCCCAGTATCCTTCTACCCACACTGTTTCTGACATAATTAAGACTTGAAAAAAAGAAGGATTCAGAGGAGGGAGGACTGTGCAGCTCAAACACCTCCCACAAGAACCACAATCTCTGCCATGATTCTTTGTAAACCACCCCAATAAAAAGATTTACCTGTGTCTGCACCCAGCCTTAAAGAACCAACATCATGTCTTACACAGGTCATATCGATTTCATTTGCAAAATAAAAGTTAAATATTTCCCAAAAGCATAACAATAAAAACATGAATTTCAAGTGCTTTTCTACCATGACTAATGTAGAATCCAATCTCACTTTAAGAGTCTTTTTTGTTCTGGGGACAAATAAAAATGTTTTGAAAGGGCTTAGGCCATATAGCAGAAACAAAGCAGTATGTAATGACTTGTTCTCTCTTTCTGGTGCCAGATTCACATCCCTGTTCATTAGAGCCCTGTCGTGCTTTAACTCCAGCCAGCAACCAAGCACCACACAGCCTCTCGCTCGCTCACTCCTCCCCGCTCCCAGTGGGATGGGGAAGAGAACTGGAAAAGTAAAACTCATGGAATCACAGAATAATGCTGTTTGGAAGTTCAGGAGGTCTCCAGTCTCCATCCCCCTGCTCAAAGCAGGAGAAGCTGTGAGCTCAGACCAGGCTGCTCAGGGCTTTTTCTAGTTGTAGGGATGAAAAGTACAATCTAATCTTTACCTCTACCCCAGGGAAGATCAGCTAAGCTATTGCTGGCATATTAGTATAACACAACCTAGAATTAGAAGATGACATAGAGAAATGAGTTGTAGCTTCTTCAGGTTTTCATTGTTGGTCATTTTAATCAAGAGTCCTGGTAATTCATGTTTTTGTCCTTTGGTCTCTCTCTAAATGGTTCAAATCTTTGGACTCAGTGGAAAACACACAGAAATAACCTGCTTTCCAAGAGGAAGAAAAGGAAACTCAGTCCATAACCTTGATTTCTATAGGTGAATTTCCTAAAAGACACGTATTTTGGATTTTTCTGAGCAACTGCAGAAAAGGATTTTCTCCACAGGAAGACATATAATTCAGTTAGGTTTCCTTAGTAAACATCATAACGTATCCTTATAAAATGACAGTGAGGACATATATGTTGTATACTCACTTTCTCACTTCAGCTCCAGCTGAAGTATTTGGTATTTATGTGATTGACATTTTGATTACCACATGCATCTGATAAGCTTCCTGCAAAGGTACAGGTATTTTTTCTAGCTATCCAATTAATCCAGCCAGTTGGTCCACTCAGTAACTACAGTTACACTCTTTTAATTCTTATTGGGAGTAGCAGGTAATTTATATTCTTGGTTGGAGAGAAATCTGGAAAGTAATTTACTTACATAAGCATTTTGACTGAAACTTTTAGTATGTAAGGTTATTAAGCATCATCTTATTTTTATCTTAGCTATGAGGATATTTTATACACGGCTGAGTACCCCAAAATGGAATTCAATATGTTCAAACTGTATCAAAACATATCAAAACACTCAGCATTTAATTTTCCTCATTTGCTATATCTGCATACTAATAGCAACAAAGTGGTATCTTGTATGTGACATGTTCTTTGTATATATGACTACAAAGAGTAACAGTAGCTACATGCACTAACAGAGATCTGGCAAATGCTAGTATTAGATTTTCTGAAAAAAAAAAAAAAAAAAAAAAAAAAAAAAAAAAAAAAAAAAAGCAGTTTCCATCTATATTTCTATCACTAATTCACCAGCACAGGATATCATGTATGCATCTTCTTCAGTCATTTTGAAATGCCACCTGAGTAAATGTAATGTTATGTAGACTAATCACATCTGACCAATATAAAATTAACATATTAACTCATTATTACCCATTCAAGAAAAATTAAGTTTCATTGCATCTTCATTGCTTTTGCTTCAGTGTAGTTGATATGATCTCTTGGCATGTTTTAAAACAGTATAAGAATTAATTGTGCTTCATCCAAAACAAAGCAAGGTACCAAGCAGTATTCATTCAACAGAGAAACCCTGTTTTATGGAAGAAAAATGCTTTGAACTTAAAATAAACCCCATACCCCTGATTCAGAATGTTCCTGAACCTTGAAAGTTAACACTGCATAGGTGCCCTGTTTCTATGAAAACACCTGTTGTTTTGTCCATTGTCAAAGAAAGGAAGGATTCTCTGCTATGGGCCTTTCCCTCCTGTCTGACATGCGTGGCGGTTCTTCTGCAGTGTTTCCCAATAGTGTATGTGCTCATATGTCCCAATGTGATGAGAAGTAATTATACTGTTGTACAGACAAGGAGAAAATGGAACCTTGTATATGTTAAAAAGTGAAGGACTAGGTGGAGGTACTATCTGTATTCCCTTTGCATTAAGACAGAGCCCTACATAAACATCTTCCAAATGTATATATTTTATCATTACAGAAGCACTGACAATTTTTGAAGCCAGGTCCCCAGAAAAGACGTAGCCAGTTCCTGAACAAAAAGGATGGTATTTGTCACCCGGGTACTCTTCTTCTGATATGTACCATTTACTGTTTTTATCCCGAATAGGCTTATGCCCTTTCATAAGACAACCTGTGAAATAATTTTGTGGAGGAGGTGAAAGAGACCTGAGGAGCTTTTCTATCAGGTATATTGTATTAACAAAAACATCGCTGTCTGTCTTCATGACAAAGCTTGTGCCACTGCAGTAAGAGGCAACCCACTTCATGCCCATCAAAGTTTTAAGAGTTAAGTTATGGTAAGTGTCCATGAAGTCCTGCTGAATAATATCATGATATTGCTCGCTTTCTCTCAGTAGGACCGCATTTGGACCCTTGCTCTCAATGCCCAGCATAAACAACCGAACAACTTCAACTCCGTGAACCACAGATTCATTTCCCCAGGTTCTTCTGATGGAACTTCTGTGCTGAATTTCAGCAGCTGTAGTAGCTATTAATAATACCAAGAAAGGTGTTTTATCTTTACACTTCTCTTCTTCATTAATAATGAATTTAAATGGCCATCTTGAGGTGGATCTGGTTTTATTCTCAAATTTCTCATTTTCAGCTGGTAGTTTTCCACTTTCTTTCCATAAGAATTTCTTGAAACTTGAAATAATGTTTTTATGTAAAATATTTTCACTTTCCATCTGAAGATTATCATACCTTTTGGTAAAAAGTATGTCTTTTTCTTCTATGTCATGATTGTTCTGACCTTTACTTTGAGCTATGAGAGCAAGGCAATCAGAATTCACAAGATAGGAAATCAAACATATTGCTGTAAAAGAGATGGAGGCAATCAGGAAAACATTTCTCTTGGCACAATCCCAAGGAGAGAAGAAGAATCCGCTACAGTAGTTCATGTTGGCAGCTTTGAGAGAATGCACAAAAGGGTATTTTTTAATTGAACAGATATCTTGTCAGAAGAGCAGTTATTTGTAATTGTTTTCCTCAGTAACACAGGAAGATAAAAGCAATCTGCAAGCTTCTGATTCTTCAGAATTCCTTTTTTTGTTTGTTAAAGGTATCCCATTATTTCATCTTAGAATAAATTGTAAAGATTTTCTTAGGAGCAAAAAAAAAAAAAATCTTAAAAAAATTTTAATTATTTCATTTTCAGGATTTACTTCCTAAGATAAATACTGTATGACAAATACAGTAAGCAATAAATAAAACTAAATAACTACAGTATCAAAAATAATAACTTTCTCAGATAGAACAGAGCTTAATCATATATATATAAATATTGGAATATATGTAAAATATAAATGTGAATTTAATCTAATATTTCAATCAATCTTTTAATATTTTTATACATATATGCAAAATGCCTATCAATCTTTCAACATGGTTGTCTTCAATACTAATAGCAGAGTACTGAATACATAAGAGTTATGGTAGAATGTAGAATATATATTCTATTTCAAATGCATACATTTATTAAAACACACTAAAAAGATACATGTTTAAAATAAAGATTGTGCTATTCCAATTGCTACAACACTCCCTTCTGGGTTATAAGAGTAGAAGAAATATAGCTTATATTCATGTAAGCTTTACAAAACGTTACTGTGTAGTTGAATAATCCAAAGCTAATGAAAGTTTATGATTGATTATGGATTCACAGCCTTGGAGACTATTAGGATAAATCACACGGCAGGTACATTTGGCCATTTAAAAGTTTGATACACAACTGAAAGTGATTGTCCAGGCTATATAAAATGTTAATGCAGACAGAGAGGTAGCATTTCCAGAGGCGAACTTAGCCATCAAAAGATAGTTGTCTTACATGAGACAAAGTGCCCCCTGCCAGCATCTACCTCTGTAAGCGTGTACTTCTGTAAACATGTTACCTCTGTCACACATATTCTGAAGTGAGCCGCAGAAGTATAGTAGGTTAGTTTTTCAAATTTTTTGTGCCCAAACGCTACCTGATAGGTGCAATGTAGCTCACAATCAAACAGTAAAATTCAACACTTCTTACCATCATCTTTGAAAGTGTACGTTCATCCCAGTCATACAATCATGGTATTTTTGGAACAGATTCTTCAGTAGATTCTTGCTGCTTCATAAAGAAATGATAGATTTAGGAGGACTGAAATAGAGTCAGAGATCCTATCTCTGCGCCCATGGAGAACCTGGGGACAAGCTTCCGGGGCCCTGAGGTTCTGTCCTAAGCCTTTTCCAGAGGAATTATGAATTAATGCAAAGGAAAATGCACCAGGACATTCACCATTCTATTTGAAAGCGAAAAAATACTGACACTGGTAGCAGTGAAGAGACAGTCTATAAAATGTGATTGCATTTAGCCATTTTAGGATATGCAATAGAAATGTAAACTAAAAAATTAACATGCTCAATTATAATTTAATCTGGATAAAATAGATGTTGATTAATCTGAATGCAAATGCATGGTGAATTACCCTTGGCCAGCATCCAAACACCCACCTCATTTTTCATCCACTCCACCTCTCCTTGACAGGACAAGGGGAGAAAATAAGATGAAAAAGCTTGTGGATCAAAGTAATGATAGAGAAATCACTTACCAGATATTGACAAGGGCAAAACAGACTTGGAGAAAATTAATTTAATTTACTTCTAATTAAAATATATTTGGATAGTGAGAAAGAAAGACAAAAATGAAAACAGTACCCCCTCTTTATCTTTTCCAGAGCTCCTCTTAACTCCTTTACCTGCTCCCCCAGCAGCAGAAAGAGGTTTGGGGTTAAGGTCCCTCACAGCTCCTCTTCCTGTTCAGAAAAATCTGCTCCAGTGTGAGCTCTTCAAGGGCCACAGTTCCTTCAGGAAATATCCAACTGCTCTAGGCTTGAGAGAAAAAGGGCATAAGCATTTTCTATTATAAACTGGTCAGTTGTTCAACTAATGCACCTTACATATGTCATGCATCCATAAAATATTAAGAACAGGGTGAGTAATGGCTTAGCTCTAGCAACATTTTTAGTTTTTTAGAAAATCTATATTTTGACATATTAACATTTTAAATATCAAGGATCCAAAAACAAAAGTAAATATAAAGCAATGTAAGAAAGAATGTAGGCAGTACCGTTTCAGAAGGTGAGAGGCATTTCTGTATCCACCAATTGCTTTGCTGGTATTTGAAATGTGAGAACTTCAGCAAGAGTAAAAGGTAATTTTCAGTGTACTTCTGCATGGAAATTTTCATGATTAAGCTGAAAACATTTTGTCGAAGTCTTTTTTAGCTTCTGTTCATTTTAAAAAGTGCAAATTTGTTACATGAAAACCTGGTTCCACTGTGGAAAGAACAGGAACTTCTAAGAAGACTTTTCTAACAGGGAGCTAGAGTACTTATTGTTTCAAGTTTGATACAGTTATTACAAGATTAATAAAGAATTCAAGTTGCAGAAAAGCAAACAGTATATATATCTGAAAAATGACAGTTTATCTTGCTTATAACTTTTAAAAATGCTAGGAAGCTCTCAAAATACAATCTTCCTTTTTTACTAAAATTCTTCACATAAAAAAAAAAGAAACATACTTTGCAAATAAATTCTTACTCACAATAATCACAATAATTACCTATACTATTAAACCAAAACAATCAGAATTCATGAGGATTATTTTTCTAAAAACAACCATGTATCGAAGTTGGAATTATAGTCCCCATATACATTGTTGCCTCAGTGATACACTGATTATTCACATATACATGCAATTTAACTATATTCAGAATTTAACATTACATCGAATATGCTGTAAGAAGCCAGAACTAGGCCTTATTAAAATATTAAGAAGAGTAGAAAGGAGTAAGGAAAACCAGAAAATGAATTAGAAAAAAAGGAAGGAGATGAATATGGTACTTTTTGTTGCCACTCCTGTTTATGTTATCTTTTCCGTATTTATTTAAAAAAGACTGACTTGACAGTTCATGAGTGAAAATCTACCTCACAATGTTCTAATTCTACCCTATCTCATGCCAGATTTTTGGAAGAATTTCAAAATAAGACAAACCAACCCCTCACATTCTAGCAATGCTTTGATATTTGTCCAACTTCTGGAAGTAATGAGTTTTACAGTCCAGTCCTTCTAAGGTGGTCACACAAACGGCAAATTGCAAAGTAATCTCTCGAGAAAATGATCCAGGTGTTTGAAGTTGCAAACTAAAGGCTGCCGGAAAGCGTGAGATACAGAAGTTAATTTAAAGCTGCCAGTTGGTAAACAGATCAGAGTATCTTGACTACTTTGTTTCAATTTAGTTAAACTGACTTCTAGTCGAATTGACTTAACATACATCAAAGGACGAGCTGGGAAGTGAGAGAAGAGCAGAGATGCACCCAGCTAAAATAAAGGCAGCCTCTCCTGGAGAGCAGCTCTGCTCAGCACTTTGCCATCTCCCTGCAGTCCCAGATCAGCAGAGAAAGCAGCCTTCTGTGAGGACTAGATTGAAAAAAGCCCCAATCCCCACCTCCTGCTTGATTTGTAAGAAGTCCCAGAGATGACCGTGGAGTTAGTGAGATGAAGCAACAGCCATTTCACCCCTCTTTTTCGAAACCAGTATTTCATTTCAAACCTATATACTATATATATATAAACATATATATTTGGAGGATTAATTTGGACATCCTGGTGACACTCACTCTCAGTGGTTATAAAGAGAAACAGGGATATTGCCGTTTCCGTTTTTGAAGCAAGCTCTACTAATTTATTCTTGGGTTACAGGTGAAAAAAAGCTTTCTTAAAGGCACACGAGGACCAGAAAGCTAGTTCCACTTCCTTTTACCAGGATCATTTGGCCTCCCAGAAAACCCAGGCAATTCTACTGTCACTTACACCTATTAACTCGTCCAGATGTCTACTGCTGAGGCTTGTGGTGGAGAGAAGGAAAAAACTTTTTATCTTGCTGTGTATTGTTTGAAAGATCTGAATTCAGTTATTTCAAGATTTGAAATAAGGGTTTATTTTGCATAAATTTCTTGTTATGTATATTTTTAACACCACTTTCTTTTACAATGATTACAGCAATTTGAAAAGCAAATGGCTTAATAAACTGTGAAGGGAATTAAGCACTTTAAAGAAAACACTGTATTGTTATTAACGTACTACTTCTAAGTATTTAATGAACATATGGAACCAATTTAACAGATATATAAAGTATATTTTCTAGTGTTCTGTAAAATCTTTCTATATGCATTTTTCTGATTTAAATTATGCCTACACTGAGTTAATCTCATCAAAATGCTACTTCTGCAGAGAAACAATATTTACTTTTCACTGGAATATTTGTAAAAGTTTGGGGTTTTGTGTTTGGTTTTTTTTTTTTTGTTTGTTTGTTTTGTTTGGTTTTGTTTTTTTTTTTTAAAAAAAAACAGGAATATGTGAAAAACTGAAGAAAAATGTTAGGTTCCCTTTTTCTTTGTATAATTATATTACAGATTCAAAAACAATCTTAAAGGAAAATTTAACAGCGATAGCTATCTTAGGGTTTGCTTGTCTCTAGTTAGCCGCTATATCAATGTTTCTTAAAGTACACACAGAAATGTGGATACTAAATATTTAATCACATATAAACAGCGCAATTCCCTGGTTTCATGCAAGCAAAGTGCATTCCTTACATGTAAAAATTTGTCATGGGACAGAAAAGGGAATACACTGCATGTGTGGAGCCAAGAATTTATTTAGTCTGACAAAACTGTCCAATCAAAAACCAGTTACTAGTTTAATTTAATTATTACCAAAGGGGGGGAGTGGGGGAATGAGCTAAATAGTTCTACACACAGTCCCTGGTATCTCCCCCTTTTCCCTCACATCATTCTTACCTTTTTTAATGCCCCTCTGGTGGAGTCTTATGAGTCAGTGGTGCCAGATTTTCTCAAGAAGGAGGTGGAGGAGGAGAGGGCTTTACAGCAAATTATCAGTGTCCCACATTCTCTACTAGAAGGAACATCCTGATGTTGATGAAGTGTTTTCCCTACCTGAGAATGCACTAGTGCTAATTTCCA